ATCAGAGCAAAACTGAAGAAGATAGAGACCATTCAAACCCCTTCAAAAAATCAGTAAGTCCAGGAGCTGGTTTTTTGAAAAGATCAACAAAATAGACCGCTAGCCAGATTAATAAAAAAGAAAAGGGAAAAAAATCAAATAGATGAAATAAAAAACGTAAAAGGGGATATCACCACCAATTCCACAGAAATACAAACTACCATCAGAGATTACTACAAACAACTCTATGCACATAAACCAGTAAACCTGGAAGAAATGGATAAATTCCTGGACACTTGCACCCTCCCAAGCCTAAACCGGGAAGAAGCTGAAACCTTGAACAGACCAATAACAAGGGCTGAAGTTGAGGCAGCAGTTAATAGCCTACCAACCAAAAATGTCCAGGTCCAGAGGGGTTCACAGCTGAATTCTACCAGATGTACAAAGAGGTCTTACCATTCCTTCTGAAACTATTCTAAACAATACAAAAAGAGGGAATCTTTCCCAAATCATTTTATGAGACCAACATCATCCTGATACTAAAACCCAACAGAGACTCAACCAAAAAAGAAAACTTCAGGCCATTATCCATGATGAACATTGATGCAAAAATCTTCAATAAAATACTGGCAAACCAGTTGCAACAGCACACCAAAAAGTTTATCCATCATGATCAAGTAGACTTCATCCCGGGGATGCAAGGCTGGTTCAACATAAGAGTCTATAAATGTAATTCACCACATAAACAGAACCAAAGACAAAAAACCACATGATTATCTCAATAGATGCAGAGAAGGCCTTTGACAAAATTCAACAGCCATTTATGCTAAAAACTCTCAATACACTAGGTATCAAAGGAACATATCTCAAAATAATAAAAGCTATTTACAACAAACTACAGCCAATATCATACTGAGTGGAAAAAAACTGGAAGCATCCCTTCTAAAATCCAGCACCAGACAAAGATGTCCTCTCTCACCACTACTATTTGATATAGTATTGGAAGCTCTAGCCAGAGCAATTAGGCAAGAAATAAAAATAAAGTGTATTCAATTAGGAAAGGAGGAAGTCAAATTGTCTCTATTTGCAGACAACATTATTGTATATTTAGAATACCCTAACGTCTCAGCCCAAAATCCCCTTGAACTGATAAGCAATTTCAGCAAAGTCTCAGGATACAAAATCAACGTGCAGAAATCACAAGCATTTCTATACACCAATAACAGACTAACAGAGAGCCAAATCATGAGTGAACTCCCATTCACAATTGCTACAAATGGAATAAAATACCTAGGAATACAACTAACAAAGGATGTAAAGGACCTCTTCAAGGAGAACTACAAACCACTGCTCAAGGAAATAAGAGAGGACACAAACAGATGGAGAAACATTCCATGCTCATTGTTAGGAAGAATCAATATTGTGAAAATGGCCATACTGTCCAAAGTAATGTACAGATTCAACACTATCCCCATCAAGCTACCAATGACCTTCTTCAAAGAACTGGAAAAAACCACCTTAGACTTCATATGGAATCAAAAGAGAGCCCACAAAGCCAAGAGAACCCTAAGCAAAAAGAACAAAGCCAGAGGCATCATGCTACCTGATTTCAAACTATACTACAAGGCTACAGTAATCAAAACAGCATGGTACTGGTACCAAAACAGAGACATAGACGAATGGCACAGAACAGAGGCCTTGGAGGCAACGCCACATATCTACAACCATCTGATCTTTGACAAACGTGACAAAAACAAACAATGGGGAAAGGCCTCCATATTTAATAAGTGGTGTTGGGAAAACTGGTTAGCAATGTGCAAAAAGCAGAAACTGGATGCCTTCCTGTCACTTTACACTAAAATTAACTCCAGATGGATTAAAGACTTAAACATAAAACCTAACACCATAAAAACTCTAGAAGAAAACCTAGGCAAAACCATCCAGGACATACGGATAGGCAAGGACTTCAAGATTAAAACACCAAAAGCAATGAAAACAAAAGCCAGGATAGACAAATGGGATCTAACTAAACTTTAGAGCTTCTGTATAGCAAAAGAAACAATCATTAGAGTGAACCGGCAACCAACAGAATGGGAAAAAATGTTTGCAATCTACCCATCTGACAAAGGGCTGATATCCAGAATCTAGAAAGAACTAAAACAGATATACAAGAAAAAAAAAAACAAACAAACCCATTCAAAAGTGGGTGAAGGATATGCACAGATACTTCTCAAAAGAAGACATATATGAGGCCAAGAAACATTAAAAAATGCTCATCATCACTGGTCATTAGAGAAGTGCAAATCAAAACCACATTGAGGTATCTCACGCCAGTTAGAATGGCAATCATTAAAAAATCTGGAGACAACAGATGCTGGAGAAGACGTGGAGAAACAGGAATACTCTTATACTGTTGGTGGGAGTGTAAATTAGTTCAACCATTGTGGAAGATAGTGTGGTGATTCCTCAAGGATCTAGAAATAGAAATTCCATTTGACCCAGCAATCCCATTACTGGGTATATACCCAGAGGGCTATAAATCGTTCTATTATAAAGACACATGCACACGTATGTTCACTGTGTACAATGGCAAAAACCTGGAGCCAACCCAAATGCCCATCAATGATAGACTGAAGAAGGAAAATGTGGCACACATACACCATAGAATACTATGCAGCCATAAAAAACGATGAGTTCATGTCCTTTGTAGTGACTTGGATGAATCTGGAGACCATGATTCTCAGCAAACTGACACAAGAACAGAAAACCAAACTCCACGTGTTCTCACTCATAGGCAGGTGTTGAACAATGAGAACATGTGGACTCAGGGAGCAGAGCATCACACACTGGGGTCAGTTGGGAGGGGCTAGGCGAGGGACAATGGGGGGTGGGGAGAGATAACCTGGGGAGAAATGCCAGATATAGATGAAGGGGGAATGGAGGCAGCAAATCACCTGGTTATGTATGCACCTATGCAACAACCCTGCATGATCTGCACATGTACCCCAGAACCTAAAGCACAAAAAAAAAAAAAAAAAAAGGAATGTGACCTCAGGAGGAAGGCATAAATCTACTGCCAGATGGGAGCCTGTGGGACCTGGGGTTAAAGAAAAACTAAAGTAGGTATAAGATTAACCTGGATTAATTTTATGGCTACGTTTTTCTTGGATATATTTCTTAAGTAACATATTTTAGGAGCTATACTTTTATCATAAATGTATTCCATGCTTGTCCTTGTGAATGTTTAACAGAGTCAAGTGTAGAAATTAAAAAATATTAATACACAGTATTAAAGCAAACTAAATATGACCTGAGAAGGACTGCTTCTATATTTGAGTCCTTGTGGATCAACTGTAACCTAGCTTAATAGTCAGACAAAATTGAAAACATAACTTAGGAGTATGTGCCTATTAACAATAGCTAAGTCTTAGCCAATCCCAGAGACCATACTTTAGCCATTCGTATACTGCTGAGTGTTCAAACTGTGTTCAAATAAGGTAAATGCCAAGCTGTAATCAATCCAGCCATTCTGTACCTCACTTCCAATTTCTGTACATAATTTCCCTTTTTTTGTCTATAAATCTTTTCCCACCATGTGGCTATGCTGGAGTCTCCATGAATCTGCTGTGATTCTGGGTGTTGCCTGATTCATCAATTGTTCATTGCTGAAATTCTTTTAAATTTAATCTGGCTGAAGTTTTTCTTTTATTGTCAGTATTTCTATCCTTATTGAAATTTACATCATGCTATTTTAATTGTTTTTTTTTTGTACATGTATATAAGCAAATGTAATGGATAAACATACCGTCATCACTCTATATATGGAATTTGGTATTCTGGGTTTCTATTTTCATTTCTACTTTTATCTGAACTTTTATATAAAGTACTAATATGTGGATGAATCATTCTGATTAAATGACAAGATATTAATCTAACTTTGCCTTTTAATGAACTTTACCAGCTAATTCAACCCCAATTTTTGAACCATGCATCTGATTGGAAATACTATATCTATACTGCATATTAAATGTTATATATATATATGGGTCTGTTCATGAACTTTCTACAGACATTCTTTAATCTGTATGTCAAAGACTCTATCAGCTATAAAAACAATGTTTCATGGAACATTGCAATACTTGACAGTGTAATCCTGACTCCTATCATTCACCCTTTGGATGAATGGTGCAATAATAATAATAAAATAAATAATAATAAAAATGCCAACAATTATAAGATACATGGTAGATATATTATTTACTCTAGATTATGCAACCAGCAAGTGATAGTCCCCAGACTCAAATACAAGCCCTTCTCACACCAAAGCCCACACAGCTAACCACTGTTCCTATATTGAATATCCTTCTGTGTTAGACTAGAAGCCAACAAAAGAACAGGACTCACCCCAGGTCCTGTGGTCAGTTTACGGGTCTGGCAACTAGGATACAGGTTCAGTGACCCCCATCTTCTGTCCAGCTACTATTCTTTGCTCTTCTTTAATATTCCTTCTTGCTGGGGCTCAATGAATTTATTTACCATGTCACACTAGAATGAAAATAGGAGACCAGAAAGTACATGGAATCAAAATAATAATGAGAAGGAACAACATTCACTGCTTGTTGCTATGTTTCCAGATCGTCTCTGTTTCAAATCTTTTATTTTATACAGCACAGATAATATTATCTTCTGGGGCCAGCAAGCTCTATGAATGTGCCCCCAAAGATACAATTAAAAAAGACAAAAGGCGTAAACACAAGGCCATTCCTGGAAGAACAATTCATAACAGGACAAGACTAGAAATGAGACAGATGTCCACCATAAGGAATTGATTAAATAATCTAAGGTACATCTACATCCCAGAGTTCTATGTAGGTAAAACAAGCAATGAGAGCTCCCCCTTCTACTCCTTCGTAATGACTTCCAGCATATATTGCTAAGTGAAGAAAGCAAGGTTCAGAAAAATGTGTTGAGCCACTGCTGTCCAATATAGTAGGTATTGTCCACATACGGCCATTTAAGTTGATTAAACTTACATGAAACTAAAAGTTCAGTTCCTCAGTCACATTCATCATGTTTCAGGTGTTCAACTGCCACAGTTGCCAGTAGCTATTGTGTTGAACAATGTAGACAGTATATTTTCATCTCCACAGAAATTAAAAGGATTTTTCTGTTATTCTCACATACAGCTTTCTATTCAGCATAGAAAGAGGTTGAACTATCTAGTGACCTCCTGTACCCCTTTAACCTAGAATGCCTCCTTTTTCAATCCAGAGTTCCAAAAAGCTCTGTAGAGTATACATGGGCCACAGCCCCCTCCCTCCCACCTTCCTGCTCACCGATATTCAAGCTGTAGTTAAAGCTTCTGTCACGAGGGGGCACCATCGTACCATCATTATCAAACTTCTGCAAGGACATGTCTGCAAGGAGTAAAAAATACAATACTTCTCTTAAACCTCAGCTTACAGAATTATTCATTCTGTCAAAAAATGTAAGTGTAAAAGAAGACTGTAAATACATATACTGGGGGCATCTATAGGATGAAACACCAGATAGGTCTAACACTCCTTAGCTGTTGCTGGAAGACAGAATCTTAGGGGAGCATCAGGGTAGGTGAGAGGTGACTGAGAGAGGATGAGGGCACAAGGGGCAGGTCTGGATGGCTGCGCCTATAGTGTCCTGGAGAGGGGATGAGTAGGAGACAGTGGCAGAAGGTCCAGGAAGCCTGTACAGGGGTGGGATAATGGAGAGTGAACGCCCTGCTCTCTGGAAGGGACCCACCTATAGTGTGAAAACCTCAACCTACACTGAGAAGGGAAGAGATGAATCAACGAATATAATGGTAGATTTGGGGTTGACAGCAAATGGAACCACTTTAAAATATACACGAATACTCCAAACAGAACTGGTATCTCCATGAACAAACCATGTTATAATATCTGTTACTCTTTGTAAAATGTACTCCTTTTCATTAAAAAAAAAAAAAAAAAAAAAAAAAAAAAGTGAAGATGGCTGTGATGTCTTCTAGTGGCCAGAGCCAGGATTGCAACTGTGAGAGCTGACCGGTGAGCTCCCCAGGGGAAAGGGAGGGATTGAGGTTGGGAGGTTAATGGGATTGGCCAGTTTTCTGGAATTTTTGACATGCCTACAGGAATCCCTTTGTGTCCATAATTTTTCTGGGTTATAAAAGGACATTTTCGGGGATATCTAAATCTGAGATTGGAAGTACAGCGTCAGTCTGAGCTGAGGATAATGCTGCAATTGTGAACTATATTTGAGGTGGTAGAGGTAGAGGAGCTAGAACACACACACACACACACCCGTGTGTGTGAGTCCGTTTGTTTTTTAAAAATCTATTTTCCCAGGAAATTGAATAAATGAATGTTTAAAGGAATGTATGTGCACCATACTCTTGTATGTTCACAGCATATTGTTTTTAATATTTCATCAAAATACTTTTTCCTGAATATAAAATGTAAAACAATATACAAAACACATTTATGAATTGAAATTAACCTGTATCTCTCACCGGACCAGCTCACAATCCCTGACTCCTAGGTGTCTGCTGTGCATAGAATGGTGTATACTGTGAAATGTGTCTCCGAAGGTGAGATGCACAGAAATATGTTCACCTACACACACACCTAAGTCTGTTCCAAAGGTCGAATCACATCCTCATCTTCTTTTGCAACCTATCTTTTCCACTTAATATTCTTCTCAGGCTTTATATTTGCATCTTACTAGTTTTCGTGGTTTTGGCATAGTTCGTGTGTTTGTTGTTCACGTATCTAATTGACATTGGTTGAAATTATTTGCAAAACTCTTTGTTAGTGTGCTTTACAAAGCATGAATTCTAACCCAATATCTCAACTCTAGTTTGCAAGGATTTTTCCAGAGTTTTTACACAATTCTTCCTTTTTTTTATTTAGAATTTTTCAGTTTAAATAATCTTCTGACGTAAAACCACATGGATCATAATTCTTTTTTTAAAAAAATGTTTAATTGCCTTGGAACATGTAATGGCAGTGCCCAAGGAGATTAGATCATTCCGAGCCCAGGATGCACACAGACAAACTGGGGAAAACTTCACAATAATTCAGAATTATCTGCTAATCAAGACACAACAAAGTTATCTCCCTGATCTACAGAAACTCCCATAAAGTACCCTGATCTGAATAACGGTCATAATTCAGTGGTTATTCTTGTGGGTAACTTGAATAGCTGTTGAGATTAAAGGAGATAAAATATAGAGTGCATTTGCCTAAAGTAGTTGTGATGGTTAACACTGTCAACCTGATTGGATTGAAGGATACAAAATATGCATCCTGGGTGTGTCTGTATGGGTGTTGTCTAAAGAGATTAACATCTGAGTCAGTGGGCTGGGGAAGGCAGATCCACACTTTATCTGGTGGGCACAATCTAATCTGCTTCCAGCGAATATAAAGCAGGCAGAAAAATGTGAAAAAGAGACAGGCCTAGCCTTCCAGCATACATCTTTCTTCCATGCTGGATGCTTCCTGCCCTTGAACACTGGACTCCAAGTTCTTCAGTTTTGGGACTCAGACTGGTTTTCCTTGCTCCTCAGCTTGCAGACAGCCTATTGTGGGACCTTGTAACTGTGTAAATTAACACTTAATAAACTCCCAGCTGGGTGCGGTTGCTCACGCCTGTAATCCCAGCACTTTGGGAGGCTGAGGTAGGTGGATCATGAGGTCAGGAGATTGAGACCATCCTGGCCAACATGGTGAAACCCCGTCTCTACTAAAAATACAAAAATTAGATGGGCATGGTGGCATGCGCCTTTAGTCCTAGCTACTCAGGAGGCTGAGGCAGGAGAATCGCTTGAACCCAGGAGGCGGAGGCTGCAGTGAGCCGAGAATGTGCCACTGCACTCTAGCCTGCATGGCAAAGCAAGATTCTGTCCAAAAAATAAACTCCATATATATACAGATAGAAAGATATAGATATATACATATATACACTCACCTGTCTCAAGGCCAACACTTGAGCTTCTGCCTGAGCCCACTCACCACTTTAGGCATCAGCCAATTCATGTGTCCCTACATACAGGTCTCTTGACACAAAGGATGGGATCTCACCTCTGTCATTTTCACCCAGAAAAGTTGTTGAGTAAAGACTCATGGGGTCACAATAGCAGGAGGGTGGAATCTCACCATTTCTCAAGCCCAGAAGCCCATCTTCTAAGAGGGAGGCTACTCAGGGTCTTCTAGGGAGGGTGAGGGATGGAATTTCATTCAAATCCTGCCACTTACCTGGAGAGGTGTCTTAGGCTCTGTGAGCCTGAGCTTAGTCATCTGTGAAATGGGACTGATGATACCATCCTTACAGAGCTGTCTGATGGGTAAATGAGGAAACCTCTTGAGAGAATATGGCATTGAGTGGGACTTAAATGGCCTTTAAATGGGACACAGCACTAGGCAGTGGCTGTGCCTCAGTGCTAAGGCAGGCATTATGAAAAATCATTTCTCATTGCTCCCCCTTTATGAGAACACAGACATCTAGTTGAAGAAAGCAAATGTCCCTGTGATATGCCTTGAGTTCAAAGTTTTGTAGACAGCAGTCTCTCTACTTCATGGGTATTATCAGAACCTCCTAAGAGCTGTTCAACGTCATGATTCTGAGCCAATCCAAATTTAGTTTCCTACACTGGGAAGACAGGCATGTCTTTGAACTTACCTGTTCAGCTCAGAGACATCACCAGGGATGTAAGGTTTTGTATTTGCCCAGTGGTTGCTCCTGCACTTCTTGGTATGTTAATATATTTATTGAAATATTCTAGACCTGTTCCAAAATCACCAGTGCAGGGGTTTTCAGATCGTGCATTAAGCAGCTACATCACATCAGAATTTCAGCCATCTGCTGCCTCCCTGAGAGATAAAAATCCAAGAGTTACTAGCATTTCTTCACACAAAATGTCTATTCTTTCATTAGGTAATAACTACATATGTATTGAACTCAAAACCCATTCTATTCCTTTGGAGGTGCCTTATGAGCTCTAATGTGATATAAAAGCATAAAGGAAATAAATATGTGGGCAATTTCAAGGGTTAATTCTGAAATAAGTTTTTTCACATTAACTTTTAACTTGGTCAAGTTCAAGAAGTTGAAGATTTAAAAAAAAATCCCTCCTTGGACCCCCTCATCACCCATTCAGCTACAGGCTACAGATCTCCCTGTCTCTGTCTCTCCCTCCCTTTTCCTTTTCCTCCTCCATATTTGAAGTACCAAAAAGAGTTTTCTACATCCTCTGTTAACATTTTTCACTTCCCACTCATCATCCCATTGCCCTATGGCTTCTGTCTCTGGATTGCAATGAATGTTCTTTCCAAAGTCATAATCCACCCATTTCTTACTAGGTCTAGGTTTCATATAAATATATTAACATAGTGAATATTACTTTTAATGAGCTCCTAAAGTATGCATGCTTGCAGATTGCTTCTTTCACCTACCAACAGAGCTTTCACATTTTCCCAGGCTCTAAAGCATGATGCACTGGACATAAGTTCAACTTGTCCCACTCCCTAACTGTTCAGTCTTAGGCAAAGTCCTTATTCTCTCTATCCCTCAGTTTTCCATATGTAAAATGGAATTTTGCAAGAGTATTTAACTCATAAGTGTGTTCTGAGCACTGAATTATCCAATACATTAAAAGCATATAGTCATGAAAAACATTAGGATATTGGCCAATGTTTATTCATAATCAATGATTATGAATAACCAGAGAGAGAGAACACACAGGTGCTTAGTAATAATTCTAGAAGGAACAACAGAATTAGAAAAGCAACATTTGATAACTCTCATAGTTGTAAGCGATTCAGGTAAAAATAATAAATGCTCAGTTTGTACCAGCAAATCTCACAGCGGTCATTGAGTCATCATGGTAACCATGCTTGCCCAAAAGAGCTGGAAAAAAACCGAATAAGCACCCTGATTGTATTCCTAATATACGCTTATAACTAAATAGGACTCATATGATGCATGGTAATTAACCTCAACTATCCCTTACAATAAACATTGCTGGCAACTTCAATGATATATACATTCATAATACATACATACCCACATACATACATGCTTGATCTCTCTCACCATCCCAGATCCCAGGAATTCATTGATGTAGATTTACTGAGTGGGTGGGTGGACAGGTAAAACATTAGAACCTGGCCAGGCGTGGTGACTTACACCTTTAATCTCAACATTTTGGGAGGCTGAGGTGGGAGGGTCACTTGAGTCCAGGAGTTTGACATCAGCCTGGGAAACATGAGACTCTGTCTCTACAAAAAATAAATAAATAAATAAATAAATAAAGAATAAGTTAGTCAGGTGTGGTGGTATGCACCTGGAGTTCCAGCTTCTTAGGAGTATTGCCTGAACTTGGGAGGTCAAGGCTGCCATGAGCACACCACTTTATTTAAGCCTGGGCAGGAAAACAAGATGCTGTCAAAAAAACCAAAAAATAAAAAACAAAACAAAACAAAAATCCCTGCAAACCTTGCATTTCAACAGATTTATTTTTAGCACACATATAAAGTTGAAAGCTACTGAGCTATGCTCTTTTAATGATTAATTTTTCTGGAGATGACCCCTGTAGAGTATCTCTGAGACATCTTTCAAATACTTTTTCCATCAGAAAATAGCCTGTGCTTTCAACCAAAAAAATATTCAGCTATTATTAATTATTTGGCTGCTGAGAAAATATAATAGTTCAGAGAAAATACAACAATTAGGCATTGTATTTAAAAATAATGCCATTTACAGTAGCTTCAAAAAGTATGAAATATTTATAGATAATCTATCCACAATTGTACAACACCTGTACACTGAACATTACAAAACACTGCTGAGAGAATTAAAGGAGACTTAAATAAATGGAAGACATTCTGTGTTCATGGGTCAGAAGACTTAGTATTGTTAAGATATCAATTCTCCCGGATCTGATCTATAAATTTAATATAAATTCAATAAAACTTTTACCAAACTTTTAAAAAGGAAACTGACAGGTTGATTCTAACATTCATGTGAAAGTTTAATAGATCTAGCTGATACAAACAACTTTGAAAAAAAGGTCAAAGTTAGAGAACAAACACTACCTGACTTCAAGACTCTTTACAAATCTACAGTAATCAAGACAGTGCGCTGTTGGCATCAAGGTAGAAAAACAGATAAAAGAGACAGAATAAGGAATCCAAAATAGACCAAACCTACGTGGATAATTGTTTTTCGACAAAGATGCAAAGGCAATTCAGTGGAGAAAAGATAGTATTTTTCAACAAATTGTGCTGGGAGAAGTGGTTATCTATACTCACAAATACAAACAGTGATCCAAATATCATACTATATACAAAAGTCAACTCAAATTGGATCATATATATATATATACACACACGCACATATACATGTATACATACGTGTATGCATATACATATATATGAGAATATATGTGTATATACATACCTATGTATATACATACATATATACACATACATGTATATATGTATACATACATATACATATGTATATATAAATATATATATACGTGTGTATATATGCATATTTGTGTATATATATACACATATCTATATTTGTATATATATATATGTGTATACATATACATATATGTGTGTGTGTATATATATGTATAAATAACCTAAAACTGTAAGACTTCTATCAGAAATGCAGGAGAAAATCCTTGTGACATTGGGCTAGGTAAAGACTTCATTAGTGAGACAAAACTACAATCTGTAGGTGAAGAAATCAATAAATTAGACTTCCTGAAAGTTAAAAACTTTGCTCTTCCACAGACACTGTTGACAAGCCCTTGGCTGGGAGAAAATGGAAATTATTTATCTGGCAAAGGAGTTATATCCAGAATACAGAAAATCTCACAAAACTCCTTAAGAAGAAAACAGACACTCCAATAAATAAATGGACAGAAGAATTGAAAAGACACTCCACTACAGAAAATATACATATGCCAAATAAGCACATGAAAAGATATTCAACATCATTAATAATTAGGGAAAGAAAATGAAAAGTACAGCGAGATACTATTACATTCCAGAAGAATGATTAAAATTTAAAAGACTGACCATACCAATCACTGGTAATTTTCTGGAAGCCAAAACCCTCATACACTGCTGGTTGGGATGAAAAGTGGTACAACCACTTTGAAAACAGTTTGGCTGTTTGGCCATTTCTTACAATGTTAATCTTACCTCTACCACATGATCCAGGCACTGAACTCCTAAGTATTGGCCCTTGAAAGATAACATATATTTTCCCAAAAAGACTTCTCCACAAATGTTCATAGCAGCTTTATTTACAAGAGCCTCAAATTAAAAACCAAAATGTCCATAGACAAATGGATGGATAATGAAATGTTTGCTATAGTTGTATACTGGAATAGTATTTAGCAATCAAAAAGAATGAACTATATCAATAGATAAATGCAATAAAGTAGATAAATATAAAAATAAGTAGAGTGAATGAAAAAAGCCAGGTGTTGATTTTAAAAAAAGAAACCACTTCTATGATTCCATTTAAATATATTTCTGGACATGTAAAGTAATATATTGTGACAGACATGCTGTGTTTACCTGGGGGCAAAGCAGCGGGAAAGGTAGGTAGGCCAGGTACTACAGAACTGAAATTGTGATGTCCTGGGAAATAATAACGATATTTAGAAAAATCTAGTTATCTTAGAGGACATAGCTGGATATCACTATAATAGGGCAAACTACATTGCAAGTATTAATTTGGAAAATGCCAAATTCTTGTACCTCACATTTTAATATTTTTAGGTAGCACTTAATTAATTTCTGGCTTCCTAGAAAATTTAATTACAGAATAGACAAAAAATATGGAAACCACGGAAGAATGCATAGTATAATCACAAATTGCTAGGGAGATCTTCCAACCTTCTAACTGTATAGTTCAGCACCCATCTGAGAAATACATGGTCATCACTGATAAGTATTCATAAAGGCAGAAAATATATGTAAATTTGTTGCAAATACATGTTAAACATCAAGTTCCTTCCTCAAGTGAACAATTCATTGCTTTATGATAAAGTAAGGCATCTCTTAGATGGGAGTCATGGTTACAACAAAGAGTAGTTTCTCATCTTCTGGACTATATTGTGAACCTCACAGGAGCTATTCCACAACGTGCTTTTGTTCAGATCTATGAACTCATTAGAATCAGGCATCATATCTCACCAGCGAGGGAAGTGCCAGGGGTCTCTTGAGGACTGCTCCCCTTCAAGTCTGGAGTAGAAGCTTCAGCACCCATCATGTCCCAGATCCTCACAACTAACCTCCTTCAGACACTTAGTATAAGTTCAGTCACATGCATGAAGAGTTGCACAGGGAGAAAGAGAATCCAGCCATTATTGTACATTCTTGGAGTAACTCTGTGCCTGGTACCATACTAGGCACTGGGTTAGTGACCAATGACACTGATAAAATTGGGTAGTGGTCATATCTAAAAGGTACAATGGGTTTCTCACCAGGGCCTTTTTCTTCCTTCCTTATCTACCCCCTAAAAACAAATCTGAAAAGGAAGAAAAAGAGGCCTGAATTTACATACATATTCCTGATTCCACAATAAACACAGGGCTATGGTCTTGTACCTCTTTATCACCATAAGTTCCAGGAACTCTATGGGTGAGCATAATTATCCCCATTATACAGAATGGGATGCTAAGCTCAGTCTTTGCCTGTATCATCCTCCCACAACCCTCCCTTACATGGGAAGTAGCCCTGAGACACCTTGGAGCAGGACACCACACTCCCTGGGACCAGGGGGGACCCACCTCTTTTTGTCACCAGACAGCCAGGGCACCGAGTCCCAAAGCAAGAACAAGGAGACTTGGTTGGGATCTCTTGTCTTCCCACACTCCAGGGCAGTTCAGCCCTACATCTTCAGCTGAGTCTCAAACACCTGAAGGCAATCCTGTTTTTTTTCACCAGGCCACCTAGGTCTCTATTGAAAAGTCGTCACAGTCACTCTTATGACGTCTGGTTTCTATGGCAACTGAGATGTACAGGCTTGTCCTCAACACAGGAAATGCCTCCTCCACACCGGAAATGCCTCCTACACACAGCCCTCTGTCCTATTGCCTTTCTTGGAAAGCAAAAAACCTTCACTCTTCAGACCACCACCTGAGAAAACTTACTAATACAAGGAACTAGACTGGGACCCAGGTAATTGGTGGAACTCTGCCCTCTTTCGATAATAGGACAAACGTCTGTGTTGGCGGGAATTTTGTTTGCTTTAAAAGTAATCTTGAGGGAATATCTTCATGACATAGAAACCCAGGTGGGTATCCTAAGGCTCTTGACAAGGAGCTAGCCCTGGGGGGGAGAACGTGTACAACTCACACACCATGCTAGGCAGTTAGGCATCTGTGGCAGAAAACTGAGAGACTGTTTATAATCATATGACTAAACAACCTAGGAACACCAAAATATGCCATTTAAGATATCTCTAAGTTATTTCAGGGAAGCAGGCTTGGAATAATATAGTTATTTAGTAAGCAAAAACCTAATCAATTCAATCATACAATGGTTTGTCTTGACAAAATCCTTATCCCCCATCCCAATATTTTATTACATGTGAATGGACATTCACAACCAAAACATTTCTAGCCTCTGTGCACACTCCTTTGGCAGGAGAAACATGCTGCTCAGCTGGAGTCCTTCCTTCAAAACTCTTGGTAGCAAGCTACCTTTCAGAGGTACTCACTCTACTCTGCCCACAGGAGGGGAGCTTACAATAGGCCCACAGATCTAGTCTTCTTTCCGTGCCTTGCTGGCTACTCAACTATTCCCATGGTCTTGCTTTACAATGCTTGAATCTTTAAGGCCTCCCGCCCCAAGTAATCCACTGCTCCAAGTCTTAGCACTAAACCAACTAAGATATATAATTTTTAAAACTACAAGGGCTTTATTTCTTATAAAAGTCATATTAGAGAATGTGACTTAGATTTGCTGTCACTTGGGCTACAAATGAGCCCCAGAATCGACAGTATCCATCCAGCAGTGCTGCATTGGGACAGTCACAAATGCCAAGAATTGCAATGCATAGCAGCCTGATGTCTCCTAAAGGAGTCCTGTTTATGTGTGTTCAAGAAAACTGACTTCCTTGCCAAGGGCTATCCCTGTAGCAGGAGAAAGTATTTCAGGACACTTTCCTGAAACACTAGTGAATATGAAGAAATACCCTTTGTTTGGAATGATTACTCATTAAGCCAACCTCTGAGGTTTTTCTTATGAAGTGGTTTATAGCAATACACTCTCAGTACTTTAATTTATGTGACTGTAGTAGAGGCTCATCTTATGGTATTAGGTTCCAATTCAAATAGTAGTGGAAAAATTATACATTGTAAAAATTTCCATTGGAAATCTCGTCAAGTAGGAATCAATGACATGTCCACAAATCTCTATCCACACATAAACTAATACTCACATTATAGTCAAAATTATAACTAAGTTCCATCAAGCCTTCAAGAATAAGAGAATCCCTTTCTTATTCAATAAAAGATCACAGAAAAAGTGAGAAAGCTCACCAAAACCCTAATGTTTTGGATATCTATTTCTCCTTAACCAATATCCCCAAAAACAGCCATTTGTTATTGCTCAGGATTCTGTGTATTGACTGGGCTGAGCTAGGTGTTTTCTGCTTCATGGGGTATCTGTCACCTGGGGCTGTGTGGTCCACACATCTGGGACATCCAAGAGGCTCACTCACATGGATGATGACTGGTGCTGGTATCTCCTGGGAACTCAGCTAGGGTTTTGCCTGGAACACCTTAGTTGGACACACAGTCCTCCATAGGTAGGGTAGCCAGATAAAACAGAAGATACTCACTTATATTTTATTCCAGATAAATAATGAATAATATTTTAGTGTGTGGTGGTTATATTTATATGTCAGGTTGGCTGGGCTAAAGTGAGGTTTGATGAGCTAAAGTACACAGATAGCTCATCAAACATTATTCTGGATGTTTCTTTGAGGATGTTTTTGAATGAGATTAAAATTTAAATTTCTGGACATTGTGTAAAGCAGATTATCATCTACTGTGGATAGGCTCCATCTAATCAACTGGAAGTCTGCACAGAAAAAAAAGACTGACCTCCCCTGAAGCAAAGGGAAGTTTCCTGGTAGATGGCCTTTGGAATTAAACTGCAACATTGGTTCTTCCTTGGTCTGCATTCTGCAAACACACCCTGCAAATTTGGGCCTTCCAGCTATCGTGATCATGCTAGCCAATTCCTGAAAATAAATCATTCTCTTCCCAACCCCTCTATTTAGATAGATAGGTAAGATAGGTGGACACACACACACACACACACACACGCACACTATTGGATAAGTGACTCTGGATGTGGCATGCAATATTATTTTATTTGAATTCAACTGGGCATCTCGTATTTTTATTTGCAACATCTGGCAACCCTAGGGGTGTAGCCTTTGGATATGTAAGTTTTATTTACCTTCTAACATGACATTTTCAATGAGGCAAGTCTAAGGAAAATGAGCAGGTAAGACAAAAAAAGGACAAAAGCTGGTAATACTTACTGTTGGTGAAATAAAGGGGAAACAGACTTTCAAATACACTGCTGGCACCACATTGATGTATCCATTTTCTGAGGCCCATATTATTACAGCTTAATGACTTGAATGCCCTTTGTGCAGAAGTCCTATTTCTACCAACCAGGGAGCTTCAGCTGAGGGTTTAGAAAAGGCTCATCAAGGTGACTCTTATGTGCATCCTGGTTAAGAAGCCCTGGCTGTGGGGGCAGGTCAAATTAATAGATGAGTTTTCTGCTTCAGGGAGGAACGATAGCTCCTACTTACGGAGCAAAGTGTTTAGAGGGGCCCAGCTCTAGTTTCTTTATGTTAGCGTCTGGATTTGATCTTGTGACAGCCCTGCTAGTGAGGTACCAGTATCCTCTCTTCTTCATGGATGTCTGTGACTAACAAAGCACGTGCTCCTAACCACACAGCTGGATGGCAAAAGACTTGCTCAGCAAGCCCACTGCCAGAACCAGGCCTACTGCCAGAACCTGACAGCCTGGGCACCTTGAATTGCTGGTGGCAGATCTTTAGTATGAGGACATATACTGTTAAGGAGTTTAATCTCGGTTCTCCTTGTGTTTACCCTTCCTGCATTTCCAGCAGAAAACCAGGCTTGGGCCCCTTTCCCCGTGTCTCAGGGAAGGTTTATAGCAAGGCTGGAAGCAGATGCAGTGTTTCCTTCATCCTGTGTGGAAACTTAAGGAAAGGATTGGACTACTTGTACCTGGCAGGAAGGGGAAGGGTTCTAAGGACACAGAGAAAAGAGGAGAGAGATTTCTCTTGGATAGTGATGAGGTCAGAATTCTACAGGTGCCTCTGGGAGTAGGAACCTGAGCATTGCTCTATATCAATGTTTGGAGAAGCTCTGTATATGGTTCATCAAGGCTCGGCATCCAGCCATGAGACAGATTCTCCTGTTTGGTTGGAAGGATGGATAACTCAGAGTCGGGAAGTACAGTGGGGCTGAAGGTAGCAAACCAGCTAGGGAAATGGTCAGCTCAGCCCTCAGCGATGGGGACACATGCATGATAATGACTTGCCAGGCTGTATCTGGAAGATACATTTCCACAAATGGTTATTCTTTGTCAAAGAATAAAAAAAATAGTGAGTATTTTTAATATATACTGTCTAGTTGAAAGTTAAAATCTCTTTACTAATGAATATCCCAACCAACTACAAGATGAGAGCACTTGTTTCTCTAGATTTGTGTAATAATGCGCTTCCCAATGTTAATATTTGTGGATGTAATATCCTATCACTGTAATGTTAGAATAGTTTTCATTTTCCTCTATTTCCACATAAATGGCATATTTTACATGTACATTTCTAAACACAAACATAACAGTCCCACTTTATGCCTCAGAATCTGTCCGTGAATAGTCCTAGAGTTTGATGAAAAAATCTGATGAGTAAGTTTGTGTTTATGCTGTGTCCTGTTTAAATTGAAATTGTGGAGTCATAAGAATGACATGTTGCTGCAGGAGAACAAAATGGTAGACTGTCTTTGCAGAGACACTGGAGAACGTATATGAGAGAAGCAAGCACGGCCCCATCAACTGCTACTCTCTCAAATCTGCACTGCAGAGAGTCCCTGGCATGTGTGCAAGAATGGTCATGGCAGCGTGGCCAAAATATCAAAATAACCCCAAAGTTACCTTATTAGAGACATCTCAGAAACATTTTCAGAAGAAATAAATTCAATAAGTGTTTGCTACGATTTGGATGTTTGACTCCTCCAAACCTCATGTTGAAATCTGATCCCTAATGTTGGAGGTGGGACTTAACAGGAGGCGTTTGGGTCATGGGAGTGGATCCTTCATGAAAGTCTTGGTGCCATCCTTGCTGTGACGAGTGAGTCCTTGCTCTATTAGTTCCCACAAGAGCTTGTTGTTGAAAAGAGCTTAGTACCTCTCATCTCTCTTTCCCATCTTTTGTTATGTGGTCTCTGCACAAGCCAGCTCCTCCAGACTTCATCATGAGTGGGAGCTTCCTGAGGCCCTCATCAGAAGCAGATGCCCAATCTTGAACTTTCCAACCATCAGAATTGTTAGCCACATAAAGTTTTCCTCTTTATAAGTTGTGCAGCCTCAGATATTCCTTTATAGCAACACTAAATGGACTAAGAAAGTAGTATAAAAATATATGGTTTATTCCATTTACCTATCAGGACAGCAGTGTGAAGCAAGTATGGTGAGTCCCATCTTGCAGATGATCAAGCTCTGGCTCACAGAGACTAAGACCCTCTCCAGATAAGTGGCAGAATGCCAATGGGATTCCATCTCTTACTCTTCCCCGCAATGGAACCAGCAGCTTCCCATTTGGAAGATGACAATTTTATACTTCCCCAGTATTGTGCCCTAAGGGTACTTACTCAACAGCCCTTCACATTGAGGAAAAGGACGGTGGAAATGAAATCTTGACCTTTAGGCCATGAGGCATAGCTGTGGGCTCAAATGGATTACCAGGTCTCTGAAGTTAACTGCACGGTGAAATAAAGAAACGTAACCTCATGTGGAACAAGAAAGAACAGGGAAGAGAACAGAAAACAGCAGGCCCTCCGGGGATCACCTCTACCTTTCTCTGTCTTTGCTCCCTTCCCCACCTCATTTGCCCCCTGCTCTTTGTGACAGTGTGGGATGTACACAGGTATCCGAAGTACCCTGAGAAAGGATAGAAAGATGGGAAGATCCAGACGATGAGACGGCTGGATCAGCTAACACAAGTCCTGGAGCCTGTGCCCTGGGTGTTGGCTCACTCACCAGGCACTCCATGTCTACCTGCTTCTGTGTGCCTCACCATCACTACCACATAGCAATGAAGCTCCCACATAACAAAAATATCCACTCTTCAAGGTGAGTTAGCAGGAGAAGTGATTTACCCCTGAGACAAGGACATCTCACAGTCACTGGTTGGGTCTGGCACCAAGATGCAGAGAAATCTCTGGTCTCTCTCGCTCCAGTGTCCTGAACAGCAGACAGTATGAGGTTTTCATCAAGCCCCTTGGGAGTGCAAAGGAAACACACTTCTCTCATGCAGACAAGGGGACAAGAAACATATGGGGACAGGAAAACCTGGGAAACAGGAAAAAATGGGGTGTGTGGTGACTTCATTCTTTATCCCAAACTCCATTTATGGGGTCCATGACTCGGTTGAATAGAAATGGTGGAATCACCTTCTTCCCTTCCCCAGCACCATCAGGGCGCTCATTCCACCACACAGAAATGACACTCACTTACCATAAAATTAGAAACATGGGAGTGTTTTCCTTCTCTCCACATGCTCTCTAGTCACATGGAAAATAGTTACTATACACTAGAGAAACCTGGCAAACCTCGCCTTAATTAAATGATGAAGTTCAACATCACCAGTGACATGAAGTAGTCATCCTAACTACCAGATATAATGTAACAAGAAGGGCACTTCAACTCAATGGTATTCTTTCTCAAAACACATAACCCTTGTCTAATCACAATAAGAACAACTGGCTAACCCTACACTCCTCATTACTGTCAGGGTCATGAAAGTAATCTGGCAGTTCCTCAAATGGATAAGCAGGGAGTTACCAGCAATTCCACTTTTAGGTACATACTCAAGAGGAATGAAAACATAAGTCTACCTTAAACACAAATGTATGTTGAATTGCCATTCATATTGGCCAATAACTAGAAATAACCCAAATGACTATCAACAGATAAATAGGTAAAAAATGTAGTCTATTCATACAAGACTTTTCAGCCATTAGAAATAATGACATTATGACACATGCTACACTATGAATGAACCTTGAGTATATATCATAACAAGGAAGCCAAACAATAAAGACCAAATATTGTATGATTCCATTTATATAAAGCATCTAAATAGGCAAATTCATAGACACAGAAAACATTTGTGATTGCCAAGGCTGAAGAAGGAATTAACTGTATTCAAGCACAACAGGGTTTTTGGAGGTAATGGAAATGTTTAAAGCTTGATTCTGGTGATGGTAGCACAACTCTACACATTTACTAAATTCATCAAATTTACCCTTAAAATGGGTAAATTTCATTATCTCTATGGCATATTGGAAGAAAGCTGTTTAAAAATATGGTTTTCCGGTCTTCTGTTGTACCACAGTAATGACCACTTTCATACAAAAGAACTGGCGCATGTTTTATATAAAAATGAATGCATATTAAAGAGTGTCTGTGTCCTAGCCCTGCTGCCTCTGTCCTGTTTAACTCCAAGCAATGATCATTCGTCTTCCCCCTTCCCCTCATGCTACATAAGGTTGTGCTTGTGTGTAAAATTTGATGTCATCTAATCACTTCCACATCTTTCAAGTATGACAATGACTTAAAAGTGGGTCCTGAACTCTGCCATCCTATATGATAGAATGTTAGCATAACTAATTTCTTCACTCCTCTGTGGCTGTTCTCACATGCCTCCCTTGGGGAATCTAAATGGCACCAACTCTATGTGTGCCACTATGTCAATACATATCTAAGAGTGAACACCACTTACATCAACAATTTCCCTTGTAGAAATTCATCTTCAGAATGTAGTGAAGAATGTTGATAAGCATCTGGTTATAAGGACTGCCATCTTGATAATTATCTTTTGTCACTTCTGGACCTGAATTTAGGAAGAGAGACCAAATGAGACACAAATGGCAGAGGGAAATGTGGTTGTCAGCGCGTGTGCGGTGCACGCGTGTATGCACACACACACACACACACTCACACAAACTGAGACATTTATCATGTTGTGTTATAATTCTCCTAAGACAGCTTGCCAGACTCAAGGAAGACGCATTTAACTCACTGCTGCAAACAGCCACAGGAACTGTGCCTGAAATTGTGCCCTTCAGCAGTGCACAGACTCTGAAAAGATGCCATCCACACAGTGTAAATAATAGGAAATATCAGAACAGTCTGAATAACATAGGGTTGTGAAAATTGATTATGTCACATCCATAGGATAGAATTCTAGAAGCAGCGAAAACGAGTTATAATGAAAGCAATGATGAGAGATGACGTGCATACCAGATTAATGATTCACATTATTTCTAATGTGTGGAGAAACAGGTATTTTTATACGTATATAAGTAATATAATTTAGTAATAGTATTTTAAAGTCATTATTAACATAAAATTTTATAGTTCAAAGGGTTTTAAAATGACACTTTCAGGAACTTAATAAATGCTTACAAAAATATTTGCATATATATAAGCATGGTGTTAAGGACACTATTTTTGGTCATAGAAATAATGGTAAGGAAACTAAATTTTCATTGCTAGTATACTAGTGAAGTAAATTTGAGGGCATCCACACAATGAAATACACAGTCCAAAAAAAAAAGTGAGTTTTTTTGTGTTTTAGTATTTTAAGATGGTATCATATATTTCCATGACAAGATGGTTATAGTAAGAGCAAACTTGGGTTACAAAGATGATAAAAGATCTGCATCCATTTTAGCTTACCCAGGTCTCCAGCTATTTATCCATTTGTCTCAAAGCATTTAAAAATATATTTATTCCTCTGACACAGTTTTCTCTTCCACATAGTAAGAGGTTCCACTTTTTAAATGGAGGCTGACAGTATTCCTACACATTGGGGATGCCCAATTTTCACTCAGACTTCTAGAAAACTCTGTAGGGGGGGCTTGGGCCACAACCCCTCCCTCCCACTTTCCTGCTGTGATATTCAAGCTGCAGTTCAGGCTTCAGTCACGAGGGGGCACCACCATACCACCATTATCAAATATTTCCACAGATGTGTTTGCAAGGAGCGAAAAAATATTCCTCACTTGAAACCTAGCATATGAATTTACATATAGAATAACTCTAATTCTGTCAGAATAAAATTGATAAGTGTAAAATAAGACAGTAAAATCCTCTACTCTGGGGCATCCATAAGATGAAACATGAGATACCTCTAGCGCACACTGGCAGCCCTTGGTAGGCAGAACTTTTTTTACCTACAGACAGCCATCCCCCTGTATCCATCATTTTTATGAATTATAAAATAAGCATATTTAAGGGATATCTAAATCTGAGATTAGAAGTCCAGGCCTGGTCTAAACTGAAGATAAGCCTGCACCTGTGAGCTGTATTAGGGTGATGGAGCTAGAGGAGCTAGAAACACACACACACACACACACACACACACACACACACACACAGAGTCAATTTACTGTTTTAAATCTACTTCGTTTTCCCACGAAACTGAATACAATGAATCCTTTTCCAAATTACTGAATTCAGTTACACATTCCTGTTGTCGATCTATTAACAAGTATTTTCTTTATCAAAATTTTTATCAATATACATTTTCCTGAAACAAATTTTCAAACAATATACAGAAGCATATTCATAAATTGGAATAAACCTTTATCACTCACTGGTCCAGCTTCTATGCTGTGACCTAAGAGCGTCTGTTGTCCCTGGTATGGTGCATACTCTTCAGACACGTCCCTGTAGGTGAGGTGCACACAATCCTGTTCACCACCCCCCCACACACAGAGTCTTCTCCAAAAATGCAATCACAGTCCTCATCTTCTTTTGCAACTTGCCTTTTCCACTTTATATTATATTTAGGGTTGATATTTGTATCTTCTTAGTTCTTATGGTTTTGGCATAGTTAACATGTTCATTGTTCATGTATGTATGTGAATTATCTGTTGAAATAGTTGCTAATCTTTTTGTTACAGAGTGTGCTTCATAAATCATGGATACTAACCAATATCTGAAGTGTGGTTTGCAAATGTTTTCTCCTTTGTTTTAATACAATTCTTAGTGGCTTTTTATTTATTTAGAAAGTGTATTAAATTTCAATAATTTGAGTTAAAAGCTATACAGCTCATAATTTAAAAGAAGAAAACATCGAACACCACCACAGGGAGTGGGTACAGTCAGCCTGGAGGAAGATTACTGCATTCAGAACCCTGCAGGCATTAAGGAAAAATGGAAAAAACTCTATAGAGTATTCCAGAGTAAGCTGCTGATCAGAAGATACCAAAGTTTTCTCTTTGATTTACATAACTCCCCTAAAGGCAGTACCCTCATCTGAATAGTGGTCAGAATGATGGGTATCTTAAATAGCTGTTAGGATTAAAGAAGAAGATCATGACACAGAAGGATTCAGGGTAAAAGTTCAGTCACAGTCAGCCAGCCCAGGGCCCAAGGAGCAATCAGCACATGTGAATTGAAACGCCTGTGAAGTGCCTTCCTTGTGCAACTAAAAATAACAAAAAGAAAGGAAAATATACACATGGCCAGCACTTGTAATACAAAATTAGTCCAAGTTCTGAATGCAATGGAGCCCTAAAGCAACCAAGGAATTTGGGTCTGGACACATGAAAACTAACTCCCCCAAAATACTGTTTTCTTTTACCAGCATGGCCCAGATTAGGTTCTAGATGTAGAGGACAGGCCTAGAAAAGAAACAGTGAGAACGAAGACAAAAAATTCAGCCTAGACAAATGGGAAAATGTTTCATTTTCAGATACACTGAGACATTATTTTGGGATAGGAAGCAATTGGAAAATGAAGACTCTGAACATATCAGAGTTTTAAAATGAAAATAATATCTGCAGAATGCATTTCTGCTTCCTACAGCATATAAACTGAGAAAATGAGTGTTTCCATTTTAGTAGCTCTGAAAGAAAATACACATGGGCAAGCAGGCATATACACTTGTCACACTGTTGAGATGTGGATGTGCATTTGTTCTTCTTGTGTTTCTTCCTTTCTCTTTACCATTACATGTCCCACTAACTACAGATGAAACATCCAACAAAATAAGATCACATTTCATGTAGAGATATATACATGTTAAAAATTGCAATGAGATGTATTAAGGATGAAATATCCAAATTCTTGTTAGTGACTACTCTAAGTAAAACAGCAGCTAATGCAATCAGAAAAGACTAAGTAAGTTTCTACTGTATATGTAATGTTTTATTTCTTAATATGAGTACATAGCAGTATCTTACACTATTTTTGAATTTTTATGTCTGAAATATTTAACATGCAATGTTTGTATGAGTTTTAATTCTGATTTAAAACATGATTCATATTAATTTAGAAATTATAAAACATACAGTTAATTCCAGAGATAAACATATACTAGGCAATCTTACCACTCTTTAACTTTAAAAAGTACATATTTGTGCATTCCTCCCACTATATTCTCTCTATATAAATGTGAGTTTATATATATAAATGTGTTTTTAATGGTTTAACAAAATTTTTAAATAAAATTTGTAAAAATGCATCTTTGAGAATAATTTTCTCAGCTTGAATTATTTTCCACACTCAAAGAAAATACACACGTATCAGCACTCACACATATATACACTCAAGACTACAATGACATTCTCTACATATAATTATATTTGATATAGCTTGAACTGCAGAAAAATCAAGACAATTCCAAAAAGTGATTGCAGGGTCATTTTTTTCTCCAGAACACTTGAGAAACAGTAAAGCTATTTCAACAAAAGCCCTTCTTTGATTGACAAAAGTTGAAACTCACACTTAAATAAAAAAAGATCCAAATCAAGATCCTCTCCACTCCCACCTCTCATCCCTCGATTAATCCCCTTTAGGGCCATATTTTCTTCTTGCTCCTAAGAAAAAAATCTGGAATTTCGAATATTCCCAGTTTTCTATGCACACTTGGAATTGGGCAAATGTGTTCAGATCAGCCAGCATTTCTGTATACACATACAGAAAATATGTGAATATATGTATATACATCTATATACATAAAAGCTGTGTATTTATTGCATGTGGTCTCACATATCTAGACAGTAGACATTGCTAGATGTCCTGAAACCAGATGAAATGATCTCAAGTATACACTGAATTCTATATGACTCTCAAGTCCCCATCCCTAACCATTTGGATACCATCATTTTCTGTGTAAGGGCTGAGACCAGCACAGGGGAAGTCACTTCCCATGATCCTGCAGGCAAGGACAGATCTGGCTTCTGGGACCCAGAACTCTTGATTTCAGTCTGTTGTACAGCAGACTCATCTTCATGCTCTGTTATTCTGTAATATCTTTCTTCTGGGGTTCAAAGAAAGGTTCCCATTCTGGAGTCAAAAAGGAAAGTAAACCAACCTATCTCCATCCTTCCCTGCCTCCTACTCTTCCCAGTCTCTAATACTCACAATTCTACTCTATTTCCATGAGCTCATTAAAAAAAAATTTTTTTTAGTAGTAGCTGGTTAACTGTCACACAATTATAGCTAACAAGAAGAATGAGTTTTGGTGTTCTGCTATAATTTACTGTATATTCTCAAAGGCTGGAAGAGAAGATTTTGAATGTTTACAACACAAAGAAATGGCAAAGTTTGAGGGGATGGATATGCTAATTACCCTGATTTGCTCCTTAGACATTGCATACACATATGGGAATATCACTTTGTATCCCATAAATATGTACATTACATGTCGACTAAAAATTAAAGGAAAAGGGGAAGGTAAAAGAAGAACATATCAAATTAAAAGTTAACAAAACAATGACTTTCTTACTGATTTCTGCCATCCTCAGTATCTCATCCTAAAGAGAAACGGTACCATAGCTTATTCATTATATAAATATAAATACATTTCTTTTCCTGATG